TCCTTGGAGTCAATGTGTCAAATATTGGAGTCGTCTCAACTACCGCATTTTATCATCACTGCTGCTCCTCTTTCAGTACGCCATTCTGGGGTAAGGGTACGAATTCGCAATTTTTTTACAGAACAGGTTACCTAATTTCCAATTGAACATCTCATTTTAATTACTTCTGATCACAAATTTATGAATTATTTGTTTTTAAATCTTATTAGATACATCATGAGTCGCTGCTGTGTACAAAAACGGAAAGATTGTCTCTCTGCGTGCAGTCACAATATAGAGAACTCTTCAGTTCATCACGCAAAATCAACTTTGTCTTTTAGGTGAAAAATGCCAAATATTCTTCATATAAATGAAAAATCGTAAGATTTAACCTTCAATATTTCTGCAGATGTCAGCCTCTCTTATCTGGGGATAGCTGATAAGATCCAATTCACTTATAAGTTTTTTTTTTCATCTCATGACAAAAAGAATATTATGTATGTTTAGTACTAAATGTATAGGGCACAGAACTAACGAACCCGTTCTCTAGCATCTTGCATAAGACATTATTAAATCAGCAAGTGGTTATCTACTGGCTAAGCGCACATGCATACTGGAAATAAGCTTAGCGGCCTACAACTGCTACCTATCAAAATTAAGTCTACCAGTAGATTTTATGCCATTTTTCTTGTCTGGTCGATTAAGGTGGTAAAAAGGTCCATTTTCTTCCAGAAATTGAAATTGCTGGCTAGAGTCCTGGAATAGAATATGAATTTAAATTAATACACCATCTAAGATTTATAAGGGTAGAAAAACGCTGTTCAATTTATTATGAATGAAGGGTGCTAACTAATTATAGCTGTGGTTATTTTTGTGAAAAAAAAATGGCCCACATCAAATCATTATTAAAATGACAAATTTAATAAGACTATTCTGTATGATATCAGAATAAAATACAAAGGGTACCAGTTTCAGTCATTTGGCATAGGAAAGAGTATTTTGGTTTAAAACTCCCAAGCCTGATATGACAGTTAATGCATTGTCTAAGATGCCATATTACCGCCATCTTTTAATCTGACGTGAAACATACTTAGGATGCAGCCAGTTTGATAAGCATACAAAGCTATAATATCAAATACTAATAGTTAGATTACACTCCATTTTTGTGCATAAAACGACACATTTCTGACTTATTCATATTACAAATAATAGAAATATATTTCTATATGGTATTTTTATCTGTTAAAATCGTTTTTATATATTTACATGTTAGCTAAATCATCCATTTTTATTGTAAACTAAATAGGAAAAGTACAGCCAACTCTTACACAAACACCACGATTTGCCCTCGAGGACTGTCCAGTGAGTTCGGATGTAAGTTCTAAATGACATATCCCGAGTTTATTTGCACTCTTTCTCTTCTGAATTAAGGGCACACTGAAATATGTTACAGAACCACCTTAAAGCCCGACAGGATGTTGTAAAAAATCTCTGAAACACACACAATAATTTATTTTGCAAATGTGCAAGTTTCAGTGTTTGGAAAGAGGAATATATTTAATTCAACTATTTGAGAATTTAAAGTAAGCTGTTCCATACTGAGGTAACAAGTTTCGTGCATTTGTGAGAAAATTTAAGTGATTGGGAGTGCCTTTCTTAGGTAATACATTAATTCTATACAAGGTTTTGCGCCAAATCTAATTTCTAACTTGAGAAAAATGCAATTTTCTCTTATAAAATTATTATGTAAGCTGTCCCTGCACTAGGCTTCATTTTTGCTGTACCGTTTTTAATAAAACGGACCAGTTTTTCATGATTCAAATGTTTGTGGTTATTATGTACCATTTCATTCTCCAAACAAGAAAAAATGTTTAGACAATATTTAGGAAATGAGATTTGGTTCTTAAATATGCATATATACTACCATTTCTTGATATAGTATTCATTGTAGTTAACCAGTTATTCCATGATATAAGTTTCAGTGTTACAATGATCAGGCGCCGCCTGGTGGAGTACTGGGCCCACAAACCCGGGAGGTGGAACAAACACAGAATCTACGATGTCATATGGAGTAGCGGTGTGAATTTGCTACTTGCTCTTTCTTCAGGATGCATAGGATACTTAGCATACAGCGTATATGCTTTAAAGACATGTAAGTTTTCCATCTTATGTGTAGGGAGTGGCTTGTTGAAAACATACACTTTTGGAAGATCTGGCAGAGTTTACAAGATTCAACGCAATTTGTAAAATAATGGAAAAGCATTTAAAAGGAAACACCTCTGCATGAGCTTACAGATACCCTGCTGCTAACAAAAGAGGGCAGCACCTCTTGGTCTGATATACAATTTACATCAAGTTATACCAAAACAAATGTTAAATTATTTCCCCTTTAACACAATTACATATAAACTTCCTTCATACTTATATTTTACGAACATTTGGAAAATAATATGAAAGGCTTGTATGGTGAGTTGGGTGTTGGGAATACTGCTAAAATCTATACAAAAATTCCTTGTAATTACTGATTACATTTTTGGCCTAGAGAAATTTGGAGTTCAGTTCTAAGTGTCCTTGAACAGAGTGACATGTGCCCCTAGTTTGTTAGTTAATCATTGAATTTAGTCATATCAGAACTGCCTTATTTCCAGGTTTCAGTGATGAGACTGTCATTTAGGGATAAAGACAGAAAATATGGCTCCCAAAAAGTCAGAAAATCACCCAGTTTTCAGAAAAATCTCATCCGCGAGGTTTACAGAGAGGAAAACAAAGAACTATTGAATGGCTTTAATGGGAAACTGCTTTACTCGTATTTCTCTTTCAGATTATGCACCTTTACACAGAAAAAAGTGTGACATGCTCCTGGAGAGATATAACCAGAAACAGTTAGAAGAAGCAAAATTGCTGGAAGAAATGGAAATACCAGACGCTCCCAGTAGTCCAGCTCAGGGACAGTAACGCTATTTATAAACAGTGGCCAAAGTAATGGGACTCGGAAGTGGAGATGTATTGTTACACTTAATATCGACTATAGATAACTTCTGTAAATAGTTGGAGTCGGCACTTCAGTTGCCAGTAACGTATTGTTGCAAAGAAGTGGCAATTGTACATTGTTTGAGAATAATTTCCTTAAAAATCGATTTTTACAAACCTGTGTTAAAAAATGGATTTGCTGCACAGCCAGGTCTAATGTCAGTTGTGGAATTTATTTATATATTATTTTTATATCATCGCCTTGCCGACTGAAAACATGATGCAGGAATTGTTCAAGATCTGGATCTGACAGTGGCTGACAAAAAGGTGTAACCAAACTTTTATAAAAAAAAAAAAAAATGTTTGCATTTTATGATGCCAGTATCTTGAGAAGAGCAAGCTCTTAAGTCAGTCGTATTAAAAGTTGTTCAAATAATTGCTTTGCTGACTGGAGGTATGACACGGAAATGATTCCAAATCTGACAGTGGTTGTCACAAGTGTGTAACCCAACTTTTATCAAATAAATAAAGTTTGCATTTTATAATGCTAGAAACTTGAGAAGAGCATATCATATGAAATCAAAGACACAAAAAAGCGACCCTCTTTTGAAAATGTGATACCCTTGTTTATTTTGAATTGAGAACACGGGATGCTGAAGTACAAGAGGTTCATTAATTTCCCAAATGAAAATGTAATATAATCTGCAGACACTGTGTGTGTAGGCTCCTAGTAGTGTCAAAGATGGAAGCTGTTACAGTGTTCTAAAATTATTACAAATGATTCAACAGAACAGGTTAAAACCTGAGGATTTTTGCAGGAAGCAGACATTTTGATGGTATCCAGTTGCTAAGCAACCCCAAGCTGAGCTGTTGGCACAAAAACCTTGAGGTTTACTGAGGCTCAGCAAAGCACCTTTTTATGTACAGACACAGATTTATCTGTGCATATAGCTGTCACCTGTCTGTCATTTCTGTGCACTTCCACAGATAACATGATGACATGAAAACTATTTCACCTATTGTCTTCAAACTTACAAAACTGATGAATACTCATAAAAAGCAAGTTAAAAAAACAGCTCAATTGTTATTATTATTATTTTGTTTTTCAGTATATTTATAGTTATAAATAATCTTCATTGAAATATGGCAACCTGAAGGTTGAAGTTACATATATATATATATATATATAATTACTTTTTTTAAAATTTATTTTAAGACAAAAGCCTGGTCAATTTTGGCCCTGTTGCACACTATAGGTTGTCGCTCTCGCCTCCCTGGGGAGTTAGCAATACATATAACTGGACTGGTCCAATTTAGGAGGTCCAAACGTAATTACCCTACCGGGGAATTTCCTTCCTTTCACAAGTATTCCACAAGACCACTTCTGGCCGTAAAGTTAATTGACCTTACAGTTGGAAGTGGCCTTGTAGAGGACTAGTATTCAGTGCGGGTCGGGTGGAGGGCTTTCCTATGTAAAAGTCAGGCTCCCGAGTTGTCCATCTGCAAGGTGAAATGGGTCACTTTAACATACTGCTCCATGTGAATAGGACCAAAGGCCCTTCAAACTGACCCAAGCATTTACTCGTTTTTTTAACAAATTCCAGTTCTCAGTTTTAGATCATTTATTACTGGAAGCCATATATTTAAGGCAACATTTAATGGCACAGTCAGACATCTGAATCTATGTACAAATATTACAGGTATTTTTTCATCCTTTTTGGCCAAAGTGAGACAAATACTTCTACTCTTCTTCAGAGAAATATAAATAATATTCATGAGGGCAAGTCTTACACAAAGCTGATAGTTTACAGAAATTAACAATAGCTGTTCACCCAAACCTTGCTCAAGTAAATAAATAAATGTCACTGAATGTTTTCTTGGATATATAAAATAGATGCTATTCCAAAATAGGATTGGAACTCAAATATTTCTTTCTCTTTGATTAATCGCACAGAAGTCGAGGTGACGTGGCAATCTTTTTTTTTTTCCAGCACAGGTCCTCTTCGATAAAAACTTTCATATTTCCACTATCAGATGTTACATCATGTACAGAGAGAAAGAGAACCAAAAATGGAAAGAAATGCAGCAACTTTTCCCAAATTGTCCAGCCAGTCAATTTCTCAGCCTTAACATTCTCAAAAGTTTTAGCCTACACCTTAGTGAAGTTTGTCAATTTACATCTTAGTCTTTATTCTTGGCATCTTTCCCAGATTTGAAATACTTTGACAATAACCTAAATATCCATCCTTGGCACATTTCCTCTTAGGGTTCCAATACTTGGAGACAATTATCTTTAAGTTAGTTTTTTTCTCATTTTTCATCCTTTGCGTCTTTCCTCTGGGGGTTGACATACCAACCCAACACAAGGCGATCAAAGCCACAGGTGAACAAGTTACATGTAGGACTGTCTTCATCCCATGCTGCAGCACATACCATCCTGCTGTGACCCTGGACAACAAGAGATGTAGATAAGAAAACTGTAAAATGACAAAATTCAAATGTAGAGAAGACATCAAACTACAGTTGAGGTGGGCCCTGACCCTGAGAAATTCTTGACATTCTGAATGATTTGTTTTTATTGTTTTTACTAAGTATGTAGTAAACATATGAATAAACAATAAGACCATGACAAAGAAAAGAAGAGAAAGTAATAGAGGAAAAGGAAATAAGGCAGAGAGAGAGTTAGTGAGAGGGAAGGGCAGGAGAAGAAGGAATAAGGAAGAGAGAGACTGCATTCCCACAGATTTTAGATCGAGCTATCCCCGTGGGGAGTCTCACTAGATTACTGTCAGCTTAGCCGGCTTAAATGTCTGTCCCGCCTACTAAAAGCTGTAAGGGGGTAATTAACTTCCGTGCGCACTCAGCTGACAGCAATTTAGCATGAACCCCCAGGGTGATAGGTTGATCCAGATGGGTCAATCTAAATCTGTGGGAATGCAGTCAGAGAGAAGGGAGGGAGAATGAAATCACCCTGACAACACTCTCTGTTATAAAGAGAAAAACAAAAAAAACTTACAACTCTGTTACTCCTGGGCAGTCTTCCCAGTCTGACCCCGTTGATGTCATACAGCCGGATGTGTCGGTTGTCCTGTGGAATGGCCAGGATCTGGTGACTGGGGGACACAGCTAACCTGAGGAGTCACATCGTATATTTATCACAAGTCTTGTTATACCAATGGTCAAGTAAACGTGGTTCTATTCTTGCATTAATAAAGATTCTTGGTATACAGAAACCACAAATTATGCGTGATGATTCCTTGACACATCTAACCCAAAAACTAAGTTGCATTATCAAAAGCTATGAAATAATAAGACACCAGTGCTAATCAGTTATCATAAGAAAGTTAATTCCTACAGTAACTGCTCCATTTTACAATGATTATTGTTCTTTTTTCTTGGCTAAACTCATTGTAATATACCCCTTTACCTGTGTAAAGGCGAATCTGTTCTGATAGTATCCAAGGAAACCCTTGTAACTATTTACAGGAGCACCTGTCCTAATAATCTCCATGGAAACCTAATTACCTGTTTACAGGAGCATCTGTCCTGATAGTCTCCATGGAAAACTATTTACCTGTTTACAGGAGCATCTGTCCTGATAGTCTCCATGGGGGATCTCATGTTCTTCAGGTCCCAAATCTTCACGGATCTGTCATCACTCCCGGACACAATCTTATCTGCAGCAACAAAGACTGCAGTAGTCACAGGTCTGAAAGGAGAACACTGCATCATAAACCAGGTATTCCAACACCAATTTAAGTTAATAATCAAATGCTGAAGGCTGAGTGCATATGCTTCTTTTTTCTTTCTCTACTGAAATTTACTGATTTTATTCATTGAGATTTAAATGAAGTCTTAAACGAGTCTGACTATCGAAATCAAGTTTCGGCCCTTGTTTCATGGTGCTCTGAAAACGACCTCGAGCTTAACGTTAAAAAGACAAAAGAAATTATTGTAGATTTTAGGAAAAACCCAACAGAAATTAGCCATCTTACGCTGAATGGTTCTGAGGTTGAAATAGTCAGACATTTCAAATTTCTTGGCATACATATATCTGATGATCTTAAATGGCACATTAACATAGATGATATTGTCCGCAAAGCTCAGCAAAGACTCTACTTTCTACGACGATTGAGGTCATTCTATGTCAACCAAGAACTGCTGGCAAAATTTTACCGGGCTGTGATTGAGAGTGTGCTAACACAATCTTTCACCGTCTGGTACAGTAGTGCTACAGTAGAGGACAAGAATCGCCTCAACCGCGTAGTAAAAACTGCCAGGCGCATTGTAGGTAGGGACCTGCCGTCTATTGAATGTTTGTATACGAGACGAGTGCTCAAGAAAGTAAAGTCAATCACGAGTGACCCTGGTCACCCAGCGAATAGCCTACTTATGCATATGTCAACAAGCCGACTGCGGTCATTAAAAGCAACCTCCACGCGCACTAAGAATAGTTTTTATCCATCAGCAGTACGTATTTTTAATGAACAAAATGTATTTTAATAATTCCACTGTATCACATTTTATCGACAGATCATACCAACTTTCATTTTATATTTGTATAAATATGACAATAAATTATTATTATTATTATTATTATTATTAAATTATTATTATTATTATTATTATTATTATTAAGCGTGAAAGTATTGTGATACATAGTTTACACACAGAATACATGGCACACCTAATTTTGTTTTGGCAATTATTTCAAGTTAGTTTATCAACTTTACTGAGCAATTTTATAGTCCATTTGATGGAGCATAAAATAAAGGAACACTATTGTTAAATGTTTACTACTTGAATCAGTTCTTGAGCTTTAAACCATGACTAGATGCAAAGAATTTTTCACAGTCCACTAAAGAACTACCCACTCTGTATGTCCCTGGAAGACATTCAGCTGCATGGAGGGATTCCTGAAGTCCCACAGTCTGAAAGTGGTGTCCTTGGAGGAGGTGACCACTAGTTTCTGGACTGGGTGGGTGCACACATTGGTCAGTTCCTTCTCATGGCCTGATGGGAAGAAATAGGATTATACAAATAATATTTAAAAAAATATCAGCAGTTTTTGTGTTTGGGCCATTCTAAGTCCTTTAATATACTGCCACAAAAGAGATAAAGCAGCAAGTAAGGCTTCATTCACATGCAATGTCTATTTTCTAAATTCTATTTTCTATTCGCGGTATGTCTTATGATCACGGTCAGTGCCCTGAATATCCCGCGGCGTAATTACTGGCAGCGCGAGCCAGTTACTATAAGTTACTTTAAGTAACTGGCTTGCGCTGCCAGTAATTAAGCCGCGGGATATTTAGGGCACTGACCATGATCATAAGATACCGCGAATAGAAAATAGATTTTTAGAAAATAGACTTTCCATGTGAACGAAGCCTTACACAACATATGAACCAAATTTTACTGGCCCAGATGAAATGTTTGCCATAGTTCTGGTACAGATCTTTCAGACTGATTGGATGCTGCCTAAATAAAATCAAAAACCAAAAAATTCATTTTGCATAATTATGTCTGGTCACTGACCTTGAAGAGTATTGAGTATAGCGCCTGTGTCCACATCATACAAGATGGCGGTTCTATCCCATGATGCTGTGATGACCTCTCGACCCCCAGCCATCCAATCAGCTGCCACCACCACATTGCTGTGACCTGTGAGATCTGTCTGTGGTACACGGATCACATTAGCATCAAACATGTGGTATTCATCCGAAGCTAGAAGAGGTCCATTCGTTATGCATAAATATGTGCATTGGTGATGGTTGGTCATTATGAGAGTGTATGAGATATCTGGCTCTTTTTGCATTAAACTATTTTCATATTAATAATATTACAGTAATATGTTGGTACAAATGGAACTCCTCAAAAACCAAATTTTGCATCCACAAACAATACTAGTTTCTCAAAGAAAAATTTCACTTTGTTATTATTATTACCTCTGCCAAGGAGGTTATATTTTCACCCCTGTTTGTCTGTTTGTTTGTCTGTCATCAGCATAACTCAAAAAGTTATGGACCAATTTTGATAAAATTTTCAGGGTAGGTCAGAAATAGGCCAAGGAAGAGATGATTAGCTTTTGGTGGTGATCCAGATCAATAATCAATAATTATCAAAAATTGCTGCCTTGGTGGGGGTCTGCGCTCTCGGAGTGCTTTTCTAGTTATTATTATGATTATTTCATAATTATTACTTTTTTACACCAATCAGTCTGTCTGACTGTCTATTGTCTTTCTACATCATTAGTGTCCATAAGATTGAAAACACCTGCCACCAAATATTAACCAGGATTGGCATGATTACAATCAAATGGAAGATAAATGCATTAGTTTGAATAGCAAAATCAGCATTTTATTGTTATCCATGTGCCTTGCTTACAAGCAGCAAAAACAAACCAACTCCAAGCACACACACTGAAGAAGCCTTGAAAAAGAAAAAAGACAGGATATGCTCACCATCCAATTCCTCCTTTTCCGAGAGCTCCAGCTCATCGTCAGATGGTGCCCTTTTCTATGTAGACAGAAAATCAATATTGTTTCACATCAGAAAATGCACATTGATGAAATAACAGAGGAAGACAGTTATGACGTGATTGTGTGAAGAACCTTTCTCACAGCTGGTGTTATGTAACACTAATGAATAGTCCACATAGCAGATATACTTATTATTGTAATATTTCAGAAAATTGGATATCTGTGGATGTTTGTACCTGAACTGAAGGCAAATGATCGATCAAATAGAATCTTATCTGAATTAAGCAAACTAAAACATGATACTAATAAATTTAAATAAAGTTTTTTTAACAAATTGGAGATTTGTACCTGATGTCATGATAGACTTGCGTCACTAAATAAGAGGACTTTGAACAGTTAATATGTCAACAACCTGTATTTTATGATAATTACTTCTTATATTTTAACAAATCTGATTAATTATATTTTCAAAGGCAGTATTTTTATCATTGAATTTTTAAAAAAATTATTTAAAAAGTCCGAAAAGGAGAGCGTGGTTCATTTCACACAATAGGCTCTTGTGAATAATTGAAAATGAAAAGCTTAAATTACTAAATAAACAGACGACATATTATTATTTAATTCACAAGTAATTACCCTAACTTCTCAAAGTTTATGGACATACCTCTAAAGGCAGGCTAATTTGCGCCTTCCACACGTGTGCTGTCTGGTCCCCTGACGCAGTAACTACGTGGTCCTGACTAGGATGAAAACGCAGGGAGTTCACTGAGCCTTTGTGGCCAAAGTAATTAGTCACACACTCTCCTGTTTCTGAAGACCATAGTTTTGCAGCACCATCTGAAGAAATAAGGCACAAAACTATATAATTTCAATATCTAAACAAATACAAGGCTGCTAGGTATACTTTTCGTGAAGGCAAATTTTCAATTTCTCTTGCGTAAACCTTTGTTAAATTCATATGATATATTAGAGTATATTATATTTCTTTGGTCATTAGAAGCAGCATATTACTGCACTTTCTTAGCAAATGTTGTCATTCAACAAATGTGAGCCGAGACCATTTATCAGCATGGTTTGTGCATTATATTGACTGTGTTTTCAAGGCAGACAGTTAAAATCTAGCTTAAAGTCATTGAAGCTTGTTATCTTTTACCTGCTGATGACGTTCCAACTATCGTCACCTGATGTAGTTTGGAGACACTGACGTCCCATACACCGTCGCCATGACCAGAAAACTCGCGGACAAAATGGCTGCCAGCAGATTGGTTTTTGAATGTAGAAACAATTCTGCTTGTTGATGTCTTGTATGTGTCTTTTATCTTCTGAGAGATTTGACTGGAAGCTGTAAAAGAACATGATAATAAGGTGACACAAGATCACAAAGAACTAAATTTATATCATGTCTTATTAGAATTTAAACAGCCATATCAGATTAAGTAACACAATAGAAATATTATACAGACAACATGTAGTAGTACTACATACACAGAAGAAAAGGACTACCATCACATAAGACTTTTGTCTCTAGACAATAGTTTTGACTAAATAATACTCCGTTGTCTCTTACTTTCAAAACCTGTCTCGAAGTGAAGAATAACATTCGATTGAAGCTCTTTTGATAAACTGAACCCTGTTGCCTCTTATTCTTACATTTTTTAGGAGCCTTTGTTCCATCTCCAGAGTCGACCCCCTCCGCCTTGTCCCCGGCCGTGCTGCGATAGTGTTCCAGTTTTTCATGTACTGCACATAAAAGTAAGACGTAAAATACCATAAAATATCAAAGACGGTAATGAAAATCAACACTTTATGAAGAAATAATTTCATCACCTGCATGATTTAAAAGAATTTGGTTTTGGAGGGATCAAAATGATTATCATGCCCGATATATTTAAAACTGAAAGTTGGCCACAGACAGCACACTGTGTTATTGGTTCCATGGTAATATCAATGGCAACATCAGCCCCTAGACTTTTCTCAATACCACCCTAAGTTACAGGTATTAAGAGTTATGGTTTCATTCCTCAGCAATACCCAACAGAATATACAAGTGAGTACACTCATAGCAGTGCTCTGCCACTGATCTGATCAGACCTTATTTTATTTTTACTACTTTAAATGTTTTAACACATCAATGCCTTTTACAGGGCAATGTCTGCCTGATATTGTATTTTTAATGTATTTTATTGGCTAAATGAAATCTTTTTCTGATCTACAGGGTGATCAATATCTGAAGTACAGGGGGATCAATACCCAGTCAGATCGCATACTCACACGTCTGGTTTTCTACATAAAGCTTCTCATATTCATCTTCAATTAGTGCAAACAAGTCGTGAAGCCTGCCTCTGAAATGAAAAACAAGAAAATGGAAATGTTTCTGAAAATAGCATAGACCCCCTTGAAGACAAGAGAGTAAGGATAGAGATGTGATATAAGAAAACAGTTTAATTATGAAATCATGCCAAGTTTTTTTTTTTGTGTATTCAGAGTATTTCTTCAAAGAGGCTGTTTACACTGTCATCTATCTCAGATGAGTGTGTCAATAGCCGTTAAGTGCAGAATAATCTCATTCTGTTATAAGGGATAAAAAGAGACATAAGCAAGTAACAGTACTCTGTTTAAGTTGCACAAGATTCAAGTTAGGTAATAAGTTTCAGATTGTCAAAAAAAAATCTGTTCAACGAGTTTTGTTTGACAAAGACAATCATTTGAGTTATAAGGTGACAAGTTATGCATAGTCTAGTGTAGGTGGAATCTGGCAAGTAGCATTGGGGTTCACAACATGTCTACAGGACATAACTACACAGTAGTGTGCTGTGAAAGTTAATTAACCTTTGTATCAGCCTTCTCATATGAAGGCTACAATTAACAGAAAAAAATTGTCAATACTTAGTACGGATAAATCCCTAGCAATACAAAAAGATTTTTGGACATTCAACAACTATATGGCAGCACTCAGAGAACATGCTACAAATATATAAGAGAAAGTTGGCACTCTCTATTACCAAATTAACCTTTTGTTTGCAGAAACTGATGGTCTGTAAGTAAACAGTCATATTCACTGAAGTTAAAT